GCCCTGCAGCCAGCGGCGCCGGGCCGAGGCGGCGTGCATTGTCATCGGTCGAGATGGTCGCCCACGGGTCCCGAGCGAGAGCCCTGTCCCGGCTCCAGTGAGAACCGCGGACAAAGCTCGCGCTCCGACCGCGACCAGGTCGTGGCCTGGGCGATGGTGACGGCGCCGGCTCGAGCCGCCCGCGCGCCGGCTTTCGCCGGAAGCGCTCTATGCAGTGTCCGTCACGGGCGCGGGCCGAGCCAGAGCGCGCCTCGGTCACCCGGTGCTCTCGGTATCCTCAGGCCTTCAGCGGACAAGCTGATGAAATCGTGCACGCTGCGGGACCGTATTTCGTGGGTTCACACACTCCCACATCCTTGTCACGCCCTGTCGTGACACATATGCTGCATAATCGTCTTGGGTAAGCAGTGTTGCAGTTTTACTAGACCGTTGCGGCCCTGAGCAATGGGTAAACGGCATTTGTTCTTGAAACTAAACCGAAAACGGAGCATGTTCTCCGATCTGACCCTTGCACATTAGAAACTCAGGCGACGGTCGATGTGTTTGTCGGACGGATGCGAGGAACTGGGAGAACGCACGGTACTTCACACCCTCTATCTGTATGGAAACTACGTCCCTCGGTCGGGAACTCCAGGTATTCTCATAAAACCACATGCTTCGTTCACAGTTCGTCTTGGCGGCATTGTTTCATGGGCTGGAATGCGGCCACAATGACTACGCATATTTCAGGACGAACCGCGTGACGAACCACCAGAGCCGCCTCTGGATGAAGAATCCCTCCGAGCCGTCTCGCTTGCGCTACAAGCTCAACTACTTCTTGTGTAAGTATTGCGCAAGTAAACTTGTTGTCTTATCGCCAAAGACAGTGTGCCAACACTTAAACGGTACACATCAATCGCCAGGCAAGTACGGCATTCAGCATTGAGGGTTTAAGCGAAGATGCCAGAGCGAAACGTGATAACACAGGTTTCAACCACATCAGTGAATTGTCGACATGAAAATCAGCGTTGCAAGCGGTTGAAGAGGCTCTAGTAGGCATTCAGCTCATATCATGAGACACTTTTATTGTCAGCACGACGTGGTTATTGATTATCAACACGTGGACGACGTTGAGTACAGTTTAATCCGCCCTCTCAGGCGTAACCATGGTAGACCCACCATAATTGTACAGTTTAATCCGCCCTCTCAGGCGTAGCCATGGTAGACCCACCATAATTGTACAGTTTAATCCGCCCTCCCAGGTGTAACCATGGTAGACCCACCATAATTGTACAGTTTAATCCGCCCTCTCAGGTGTAACCATGGTAGACCCACCATAATTGTACAGTTTAATCCGCCCTCCCAGGTGTAACCATAGTTAGACATTGTTACATTAATGGAGACGAACGTGATACATGTGTGTTCAAAACCGACATAATGCACCATTGACTCAGAACTGAACAAGAAACACGGCTGTTAAGGTTTTGTGTCCGTACAAGGTGTGATATCGTACATATGAGCATTTAAAGCCGAAAAAGTTGATTTTCGGGAAAATTTGGCCGTGGACCTGGCATATAAAGCTGAGCATAAATTTATTCCCATCCATGAGATATGGTTGAGAAAAATCCTCTGGTGTTTTCCACTAATCCCTATCTTATTTACTTTGAAAACGATAGGAGGTCTCATCGACCCCCTCCCCTATTCCCAAGCTCCCTCACTTGTTTCTAAAAATATGTGCTTATATCACACGCGAGGTTTCGAGGAACCCTCTTTCAGGCTTCTGCAGCAACCAAGGCGTACATCCGATGCACCTACGCATTGCATGATTGCATTGTACCTAAACGTCCAGATGCCCTGCAATGAACGATTGGAACGAATTTTTGCCAGTAAATTATGCTCAGACATCACAATGCTCCAACGATGAATGGTTTAAAACCCTCTTAAAACACTCGAAGGGGTTCAAATAGCTGACAAAACGCTGGAGCTGATGACGCCAGCGAGGCTTGGCATCACGGCTCCGCAGCTGACACACACACCATTCACACGTAGCACGTAAACACGTCAGGATTCCACGCGCCGTGGCGTCCAGGCAAGCGGAGGCTCCTGCGCCGGCCCTGGGATCCCACGCCTGCCGTCGCTCCCGCGCGATGCCAGCCGCGAGCGATCCCGGCGCCCCGCCGATCGCGGCCAGGACCCGCCGCGGACGGCCGGACGCCGGGCGCGTGTGACCTGGCCGCCGCCGGTGGGCCGGCGTCCTGCTCCCGTCATTGTGCGTCGGGAGCGACACCGCGCCCACTGGCGCCATTGTGGCGGCGGCCGGCTCGCCACGCCGATTGGCCACGCGTGCCGCCGCCGACCCTGGTCCGGGTCACTGACCCACTTCGGCCCGGCGGTGCCGCGTCGACCGGGCGCGACCCAAATGGCCGCCTGATCTGACCTGAAGCGGCCCCGGCGACCGCCGGCCACCATACGGCAGATACACATGGCGTTTGAGGTCAGTTGACCGCGGATGTATCGCAGTCGTCTGTATGTTTCCAATGCCTCAAGCCGATAGTGATGCGGAAGCAGACACGCAGTTTTTAGGAGGCATCGGCCATGCAGTCATGACAACGGAACCTTGCGTTCGATCTCAGCGGCACTGAAGCTTCCGCCGAGTTGCGCCCCCCCCCGCCCCCCACCTCCACAACCCCCGTCTCATACGTGCCTAGTCAGCCTCTGAGGTCGCAGTCCAGCGTTAGCCAAGTGGCCCTGCAGAGAGCGCAGCGTAACGGCTCACCATAGAGGTGCCAATCCAGAAGCACGCTACGCAGACCTGGTAGTCTGGCGGGGCCGCGGCAGCCGCGGTACCGCACAACATGCTGGAAATTGGCCAGTTTTTCCCCTTTCATCACACTGGTCACGCGTGGAACGTGCACGCTATGAACGGGTGCATACCGGTGCTGATGGTCTTGAGCGCGCAGGCCGCTCATACGCCTCCTGCGCCGGTCTGAACACTAGTGGTCGTGAAAACACTTCGTCACTGAACATGGCTAGTGAATCTTAAGCGTTCATTGTTTGGATCGAAGACGTAGCCAGATCGAACGTAAGAATGCTCGTTCTTCATAAACGTGTTCGCGTGTATTTTAAGATGCATTGTATTGTCGACGATCGACCCTTCCATCCGATAGCGTGACGCATCGGTTATAGCCGAGACGTGTGTGGAGGGAGGAACCATGCTCTCCTTGAGGCCAAGCGGGCCATGTGGCGGCCGAGCGGGCCTCCCGGGGCTGAAGATATGGGGTATTTTCTGTGGTTGGTGCGGACGCGGGCGCTGCCGTCGCCGGTCGTTGGTGTACGTCGCCGGCCCCGCTACCACGCCTCTTCATAAGAGCAAATTAGTAATGAGGAGCCCATGGACAGCATACGAGCCAGATAATGTTACGCACACGATTCGACACGTTATGACTTTGGTACACCCGAAATCAACACACAAGTGTGAGCCACAGGGCTGGGATAAAGCGGTTGACCAGTAGTGTGGCGGAATGGCAGGCTCGATCAGGCACCATTAAAGACTGTTTCCCCATACATGGTTGTGCGCTCTTAACCACGGAGCCCACCCCCACCCAGCTCGGTAGGGATCTCACGCAACCGGCGAGTTACATTAGCAAGGGCCCGCTGGCGATCAACCCTGGTAGGCCCCTCGTCCTGAACTAATCCACTCACACCTCATGCACTTGACGCCCCACCACACCCACTTCAAGCTTACACACCCGTGTCAGCCCACTTGTTCTTGGCTCGCACACGGATAGGACCCCGCCCCCTCCCCCCTTCCAGTGCCCTGACATTCTATTTATCATGTATACTCGAGTTCTCATTGAGCGAAATCAACTTAATTACGCGCATTTCAGACATCTAACGAAGAAAGGTTTCTGCCCTATTTAACACATCATGTCAATTTGTTGTCAGCTTGGCACTGACGCGGCTTCTGGGTCGACGTCAGGTGTCCGAAGCTGGACGACGACCCGTTCCCCCGCCTGACCTCCAGGGCGACAGCTCCCTTTTGGACAACGCTCCCGCGCGGCTCGTCCACGATACGGCGGTCTGCCACTCGTTCGACCACGCCTACCGCTCGCAGCTTTCCACTACTGCACCACTGCTGCGCACACGCTTTCGTTGGCGCTCCGTCCTGTGCAGACACGTCAGAGGTAGCCCCTCGGCAGACAACGCGCGCCCGGCGTGGCCTGTGATTACGCCTTACGGTCTCCGCGGCCGACGCACACTGGGGATTGAGCCTGAACGGCCTATCCGACAGCTTGGTCCCTTGCCGCCCTTCCTATGAGCGTCGATGGTGGGATCGTAATCCGCACTGAACATCCCGCGCCCAAGAGCTTGTAGGGCCTGGTGTACACCACGTCAGATGCGTCGGGATGTGCTGCAATCCCTCCCGAAACGTTGTACACCAACGGATAGATACAGTCACGGCCGTGCATAATCCTGCATCCCGGACAGTCCCAGCTGGTCCCTGGCCATGTCTTGACCTACGACTCTTCATGCCGTTACGCCTGAGGTCAAGTGGAAGACAACGAAACGAGTCGATCGTCTCCTGGTCCAAACATCAATGAAACCGTGCCTTCGAGTCGCGTCACACATCAAGCGTGTATCTGCGTAATGGCAGGACTGCGGTCATCTGGCTCCTGACCCGTGGCCACAGCCGAGCCGTATGCCCCGGGTGTGTTCCCCGTTGGTCACCTCTCACGGCCATTACCATTCCTGCGGCTCAGTTCTGGATAAAAGAGAGCATGACGCGAGCCGACTGAAAGTCTGGCTGCTCTGTGTTGGGAGCTCTGCCTACTCAAATCGAAAGCCAATACGACGCATGATTAACCGTTCTGCTAGCCGTTCGCATCTACGGCTGGAGGCCACGTCACGAGCGCGTCACGGCAAGCAATGCGTTCAAGTTCTTCACTTGCGTGGACTCATCTTCGTTTCAACGCTAAATAATTGAATTGCAACCCACTTCCTGTAGTTACAACATCGCACTCAATGCAATCACACTCAATCCAGACACTGACTTATCCGTCCTACGCTTTCATAGCCCACTCTTCGTGCTACACGTTCATTCACACATAGCCCTGCTTAATCGTAGCCCGCTGACCCGTTCACAGAGACATACAAACGTCGGGGCTGGGCACTGCCCAACGTGTCGCCCCTCCCTCATTCGTCACGCAGAGCGATGGAGATATGCTGTGACCCACGCCCAACGGCGAGCAGTGTCCAAGGAACCAGCTTCGTGGTGCACAGTCATGCATGGTCCGGACAGGATGGGGAAGACAAGCCTGTAGACTTAGTTGTGTGTGGTGCGAGACGTCATGTCTGGATTGATGGCTGCTAAGCCCGGCGTCGGGGTCCTCCAGCAGCCATTGTATGTTCCACTGAGGTAGTTTCACTCCCTCCCTTGGTCTCTGAGCTTCTTTCTTTTTCGGCCCTTCGCACGATGCTTGCTTTTTGTAATTTCTTGTAACTGGGTCGGCCCTCACTTGTTTTTCCGCAGGGTCCAATCGCTTGGCCGGAATGCCGCCTCCGTCCACTATGTTGCCGGGCCGGTTTGCTCCACGTCCAGCGCGTTGCTCGGCTGCTGAAGTGCCCCGGGGTCAAGACTAGTGACTTGTCCGACTTGTTCCCCTTCCCCCTCTAGGTGAAGGCCTAGCTACAACGCCAGTCCACAAAGATGTTGACAAAAAGAAAATTTTGAAGTAAAACCCATAACCTGTTTCTTTCCAATCAGATTGTAGCAAGTTTATACAGCAAACTAAATGTTATAGCCAAAATGCGCGCCAACCACCGAGGCCAGAGTGCGGTTTTACGTAATTTGATTTGTCACACATAGGTGGAGGGTCATACTATGCGACATGACACACACGGAGGATATGTGAAAGGATCTGGGCGTTTCATGTGGGTACGCTCCATGGCTAGTATGATGCAGTGCTCTTTTACAGACAATAGGAAGGAAGACTACCAGGTGATAGCGACCGACTACGCCAACTTCACTATCGAGTACCAGTGCAGCGGCAATAACTTCCTCAACAGACGGGGTGGGTACGCACGCTGGCACAGTCGGCAGCGTTGAAAGAGCTGGCAATGCAATGTGAGAAATGAAAATAGAAATTGTCAACAGCGAGACGATGAAAGGGCCCCGTGTCAACCGGGGGCCCCGATAGCGAACGTCCCCCCCCCGCCCCGTTGTAGCCAGAGCCCAATAAGCCGAAATGGGCTTCGTGTGCCAATTGTTGCACCCCCTTCTGCCGGTAAGTTATCATTTTGCGTCTGCGGGTGGTCGCTTTCGTCGATCTGAGCTCAACTTCTTCGGTCAGATGGCATGCTGTGTCAGGGAGGGGACAAATAAGGGGATATAAAAATCAAAGAGAATTGGCGCCCATGAAATAAAGTGGGCTGTTCCCGTAATTTGGGCCGAGTGTCTTTTTCACCCTGTATCAAGCTCTGCACCTCTACCCATCCCTCTCTCTCTCTCTCTCTCTCTTCTCTCTCTCTCTCTATCTCTCTCTCTCCTCTCTTCTCTTCTCTCTCTCTCTCTTCTCTCTCTCCTCTCTCTCTCTCTCTCTCTCTCTCTCTCTCTCTCTCTCCCTCTCTCTACCAATATTGGCTGGAAATCTGTCAGTACTTTTCCTGGACACACGTCCTTTGACTGCGCTTTCGCTGCTTGGTGAGCCTGACCGGTACGCGCGTCTGTCAGAGACGGTGTGGCTGCTGACCCGAGAACAATACCCGCACCCGTTCGTGCTGGAGCGTGCCTTCACCGCGCTGCTGCAGCTGGGGCTGAACGACATAGACCTGGACCGCGCCTATCAGAGCTGCACAGTCAGGGTAAGGTGATTGCGACCGCTCACTGCATGAACTAGAGCCGCGCCCTCAGTTCACTTCGCAAGGCAGCCACGACCACAACACCAACGCACCAGCGCCGCGCTATGTGTGACGGCTCAGTGTAAGACGTGGCGGGCGAACCCGGCCGCGGAATCGGGGAAGACTCAGGGTCCTGCGCCAATCACACAATCCTGTGCCAATCCTGTGCCAATGTGCCAATCCTGAGCCTGCTGGCTGGCTGGCTGGCTGACGGGGCTGGCCCATTTCAGGACGGCACGAACCGCGCCGACCGGCGTCGTTCCTTCGCCGACTGGCTGACAGGCGGCATGACTAGTCGCGTGCAGCGGCGCATGCAGGGCAAGTCTCTCTCCGGCTTCGTCGCGTGGATGGGCCTTTGAGCGGGCGCGGCAAGGGGGCGGCCGCCTGCTCGCGCCCACGTGCACGCCTGGGAGTGGACGATCGGTCGACGAGAGACAGTGAAGTGGTTTGGCGGGACCTGAACTGCCGCCGTGCTGGCGACTAGTGAGGTAGTGCGTTGAGCGTGTGGTTTGCAGTGTGGGGGCTTTGTACTAGTTGCTCCTTTGACGGGAGATGAGGCCAAACTGATAGATGTGTCGTCTTCTTGATCGGCCCCTGGTGAACGGGCGCAACTGACTTCGAGCACTGAACTGTTCGTACGCTTTAAAGTGAAAATGTAGACGAAAGGCCGTCTCCATTTATTCCTTGGAATAAGCCACTTCCTCCTGGGCCCATTCACTTTCCGTTTGAGTTGTTTCGGTAACAGAATAGCCCTGTCACGCATGTGATACTGCCTATAATTAGTTCCGCCGTATGCACAACTTTCAGTGCCCCTCTTTCATTTAACGCCTCTGATATTTCCACGTTCGCATGTCCTCATCCACGCGCATTTCTCAGTTCCACCCAGCCAGGAGAGTAAGCACTCCCCGAGCCAACACGGCGCTTGCCCGGCTGCCGCGCCGCCTCGGGCTGCCGCTGCGGGCGGCCGCCGAGCGCGAGGCCCGGCCCGGCCCGCCGGCCTCTGACCTGGATGTCCGGCGGGTCGTGTTGGGCGCTGCTCAGGCGGAGCCAGTACGCCGCGGCGGCGGCGTCGCCGGCGCTCCGGCAGCCTGTCGGGCCCGCCGGCCGCCGCGTCCCCGGCTGGGAGTGAGCTGGTGCCGGCCCCGCCGCCGAGGGCACCAGCTCCCATGTCGCCAGGCTTGCGCCCAGCGCTGCTAGCTGTATCGCTGTGTTGACCGGGAACCACGTATTCGATGTCATTAACTTTTTTGGCAGCTATCGACGGTGTGAAAGCAAACTTTGTAGTTGTTTGTAGTTGTAGAAGATGGAGATGGAATGGGTGATGGCACGTGGACGTGTTACGTTCATGCAAGCAGTAATATCCCACCTGTTTTGATCCCCGGCATTGTTAAGTGTGTTCTTGGATTTCAGAGGGCCCATTTAACGTTTATTTGGCTGACATACATTAACATACCAAATGTTTAACTAAATCCTCCCAAATGTTCTTGATCTGATTTTAACAGTTGGCTTTGATTCCCGCTTTCGGCATCACCTGTCCCAGACAAATAGGAAAACAGATTATCCATGTCAACTATTCCAACATCTGCAGTAACATGTTACAAGTCTGATTTGGGCAGTATTATCCTAGTTCCGAGCACCTGGAGGCGGGGCGGCCTCTCTACAACAAGTTGATGATTGTCATGGACGCTGATCCCAACGATATTCGAGCAAAACATGATGCAAGCAGTACATTGCGCACATTTCAAAAAGGATAACAGGCAACAGCCTTCTCTGCCCGAGGAGAGGACAGTCTGGATAGGCCCCCAAAGTAGGGCAAGCTTCCGAATGTCATGCACTCAAACACTCGATGATATTCCAGTTAGGCCTCTACAACCTTGTTTACCACGCAAAGTAAAAAAATACGAATGCAAAAATCAACTAACGAAAATGCAAAACTGATAATCATTGCACTTCGTGCATTTCATTGTCATTGTTTGTTTTTATTGATTGAGTTGATCGTAATCAAGTTTTGTTAATTGAAAACAAAATTCGCTAATTTGATGCTCTTCATCGTCAATCTCCAAAGAAGTTGTTGCCTCATTCTATCTATCCACGGCCGTCAGTGTTTCTTCGCCATCCTTTCGCAGTACCACTGTCGCTTTCATTTGATGTCTTCGCCATATTGTATTTGTTTAAAGTTTCCTAGTTAATGTGGTTAAGAAGCTTTCAGACGCGGTGGGAAATGCGGTATAGCTAGTATGCCAGAGGCCACACTGTTCTCAAAATATTGGGATATTTTACCTTTCCCCACTGAAAGATACTCGCTGCGGTTTCAAACCTGTACCAACTTCTTGTGACCGGCGCCGTCCATGTCTTCGGCTTTTGGGCCTTTTGGCATTTGCAATATAAATTGCACTGTGCACACGCAATTCAAATGATCAACGTTCAGCGGACTAGGGGCTAAATAAGCTACGCATGAAGGGTAGGGGGTTTGATGGAGCGTAACCGAAGCGCAACAAGGGGAGGGTTTCGGACAACGTAACGTTGCACTTAGCCGTAGTGTTAAATCATGGCGAAATCATTAGACAACACTTCAAGCCTTAAAACCGGCCGCCCTGGCTTCCAGCGACGGCAACCAGCTCGCCCGTCTTTAATTTGTACCTCTTACTCAAATAAGGGCAAAGCGAACATGATATATAATATAATATTCAAATATAAATAATGTTCAAAATATACATATATATACATATATATATATATATATATATATAATATATATATACATATATTTGAAATATACCCTTCCCACAACGGAACGCAATGGGGCTCACAACGTAACCGCTGTGCAGCCAAGGGGTTTAAAATGATTGAAACGCGCAACGTAGTCTTTGGAGAACCCCCGAGGTACTAATTCACATGTAATATCCCCCCCGATATCGATCATATATGATTTGTCTGACAACCGATAACTTCTTTTGCACGACCAGTTATAACCTAATTCACCATCTATAATGATCGGCACAGAAATAGTCATATGTGTAAGTCCAACGCAAATACAAACTCTTAGCCAGTATCCGTGGACACATTAAAGGTTCATTATTCTTGGATTGTTCATATATAACCGCCAGTTTTGAACGTGTTCTGTTCTACATCATTTCATGGTATTTCTTACTTGTTTTTCTCAGGATGAATGCTGTTACGTAGTTGTAAGATACAATTGATGTGCTGTGTCTCAAGCTGCACATCGTGCCGACGACCTTGTTTTTATTTGTTACTGGATGTTGTGTTGTATTCTTAGAAGTACTGATGTGGACGTAGAACAATAAGTAAAGCGATTATACCTGCCTCTGTCTATCGTTGCTTCACAGACACCCACAATCCGATTGTTTGCAGTTGACAGGTGTACTACCATGACGATCCGGTGACATGCAATCACCATTTGTTCGTGTGAGCAGACAGCTTCTACTCGCCATTGGACTGGTGCTTGTAAACGGACGTAGCAGTTCATTCAGGAAATGACGTATACTGCATTTGGCTAAATCATTGTGTGAACGTATGTTGATCAATAAATTATCAACGCTGCGCTGTTCTTAGAAATATAAGAGTGGGAGAACAGCCCGGATGGCCAAGAACAATCCATTCTTGACGTGAGTTTTACATCAAAAGGTTGGGGTCTGCCGACGAGTCGTCTAGCACTAATTTTTCGTAGAATACTCAAAACTTTCTGATTTGTTATCAGCGTGGTGCGAAGTGCTTTTAAACCGCAACAAACCCAGAACCCTTGACATATTGCCACCTTTTCGCTTTGCCTTCGACAATAAAACTATGCGGTGTAAAACGTCGTTATAGCAAGTCATTGCGTGGTGCTTTCTTCCCTAGATTGTTCTGTATCAGCATCAAAGCTTTGCAACGTCATAAGGCGTAAAGATACTTCTTTTGGATTAGAAGAGAACGTCACATGAATCAACAGAGCAAACTCGCCCAACAAAAAAAACTTTCGCCGCGCCAATTCCTTAAGCTATACAATGAGGCATGGAAGGCATTGTCGTTAGGCAGCGTTTGGTCCACTTACATTTTGGGAGGCTTCTACACCCCTACCGAAAGCTATGACGATAATTCACGGATGACGAACAGTTCAGCTCGATATCTCATCGGATTTCGCAACACATCCATATGATCACGTACGATGTTTTCCACGATGTTCAATACTGTATTTAGCCTTCAACATTGATATTCATCTAAACACCATTGATCCAAACACGAACATCATAACCCACCAAATGAAATGCAACCAAAAACATGTTCCGTAGGCCCACATGTAAATATGAATACATTTGCATGTGCTGTTAATTTGAGTGTTTATGATTGTCAACATTGTAGCTATTCACATTATACAAACCTATATTTCACAGGCACATGAGACCAGGTGCGATGGATAGCAAACACCGAGTTAATGCGATGGACCTTGTATGCATTAGTACGACCTGTGAAAGCATATCTAACGGGACCGACAGTCGACATTCAATGAATGATGACCAGCATATCGTTATACATGCTAATAACTTTTCGCGAGTGACGTAAGTTGTAAAGGACTGTTATTTAAAGCATGTTTCAAGATAAGGATGTTTCACAGTTAGCCGCTCAAGGCGCAGTTACCATTGGAACAATCAGGGACTAAGTGAACGCTAGCTGTGCAGAAAACGACTTGCCAGGTGTTGCCCCGATCCCCAAAGTTTCATCACGGCACACCGCCAAATATGGACCCTTGTCACCTGGTTCTCTCCCAGCTGCCATCCGGATAATCCTCTCACAACCTAACCTGTCGGTCTTCGACAGCGCTGTTACGTTATCTGAAGAGACCTAAACGCACCACCCCATAGTACTCCAGCCAGGGCAGGCGCGGTCCCGACTGCACCGGCCCTGGGTATGCAAAGTGAAAGGTGACGACACACGACGCAAGATATCCACTACTGCGGCTTTGAAGGGTCATAGTTCGACAACGTACAACACACCCCAAGCCCATCCCGACAAAAGCCAGGATGCGGTTGCGACATCCGTCTGAAACAAACTTGTTCAGCACTCTATAATTTTCAAATGAGGGCCCACGAGAATACCCAAAGCACCGTAAAGTTGCATAGTATGCAGGATTATTCATAGTCGCTCGGGATGCTCAGCGGGTCGTGACGTCACCGAAACGGACGGATGAACCCTACACCCAGGGACGACTTTTCGCCGTTTGCGTCCACTTGGGAAATGTAATCTTACCAACCGACATAACATGTTAAGATGAAATGGATAGTCATGGTCAGCATCAATTATTAATCTGACACTGGCTACTAACATGCGATTGATAACGCCGCAGATCACCAAAATACCTTGAAATAAAGAATAACTTCAAAAACAGTTTACAGCGCACATAGAAGCCGTAGTTATGGACGTCACACCTTGCATTGGGACAAAGCGAATGCACTCTTCCGTGTCCAAAAAGGCCTACCATTATCTGTACCCAGGGCGCAATGCCGCTGCCCCTGAACTTGCACTGAAATGCACGCGTGCAACATCGATAAACAGGCGACTCCCTTGCTCCCGTCATTATTGATCGGGAGCGGACCCGTCTCGGCTTGTCGGTCACTCATGCCGCCTCCAGCTGCAGCGGCTGCTTGAGATCTTCCAGCTCCGAGTTCAGCAAGACATTCGGGTCGTCCTGGTGCCTGAACTGACCCACCAGTGTCTGCTCACCGAGTGCCCGGTTCTTCGCGCACCGAAGTCGGCAGCGCCGGACCGATTCGAACACGATGAGGGCGGCAGCACACATGATAAAGGTCAGAAAAAACTGAGCCATGATGGAGGCACCTTCACCATGTCACCGTTCTGGCGACGGCAGAGATTCGTCCACCCAACACACCAAGGCCAATGCTGGCGTTCTGATCGCAGTTTCCAGAGCTATGGTGACCACCTACGAGGGAGACAGCGTGGGATTAACAGACTGGCAACCAGCCATTTTGTCTGACTCTAACAAATAAGTTCAGTGCAAGTACATGTTCTGCGTTAACCACAGATAGCTGAAAGAGCAGGAGACATCAATAGCACAAACAGGAATGCTATTTGCTGATGGCGCTGCGTGTCTAAGCCGCCTTGATACCTTTGGCTACAGACCGATCACGCTTATTACACTGATTGCAACACACAACCACACCACACACACACACACACACACACACACACACACACACACACACACACACACACACACACACACACACCACACACACACACACACACCACACACACACACACACACACACACACACACACACACACACACACACCACACACACACACACACACACACACACACACACACACACACACACACACCCACACACACACACACACACACACACACACACACACACACACACACACACACACACCACACACACACACACACACACACACACACGCACGCACGCACACACACTGATGAAGTCACTGCCGTACCGCATTATCACCTATACTTCGACAGTCACGGCAAGCCATTGCTAACCCATGCAGACATTCTGAAGAGTGTTCTGTCCACAAAAGGCACGTGACAACAACGCAAAAGCTTGACGTCATCGCACGACCCTCAGAGCACCAGGGTGGGCGACATTTCTACGTCAAGACATACTCATTTTTAAGTGTATTATCATCCGCTCGCGTTCGGTGTCAAAGTGACCTTTCGAATGTTTTTCCAGAATGATTTTCGAACAGCACGGTGTGGCCACGCCAAACTTTGCGTGGCTGTAGAATATTGATTAGTGAATGGTTTGATATAAAAAAACTGGAGGTATCTTGTAACATCGCTGACGCATTGAAGTCAGGTAATGGCTGTCAGCACAGAGCAATATTCAAGATGATACAACAGCGGAGTGTTAGACGAAGCGGTACGTATCTCAGAAAGTTTTGTTGGCAATAAACTAATTGAATTTAGAACTACAACCAATGCCATTGACCTAGAGTCAGGTATGAAGATCAGGCTGAGGTCAATACTAAGCTGCTTTTCTACTCGACAATATGGTTTTTGGGGTAGTTTCTGGTGCTTACTTCGCATTTACCAATGGCAGAGACCTCAACAGACTTCCTAAAGGAGGAATACTTTGTGCATGGACTTTTTAAAAGCCAAAATAGGTCACTGACCTAAAATGACCCAGGTTAAAATTTTGTTTTTAGGGAACACACGACCTAGCGTAATCCCTAACACTTATTCGAATGGCAAAGTAGGAGCAATCTCATGGGTATTTGATCACTTTGTCCTTATTGACGTCAAACAAGGTCAAATAATTTAACTGAACACCGCTGATCTTTCGCTTAGACCACTTATCTAGCATCGCGACGGTTGCATAAGGCCTTAGGGCACTTGAGGCGTCAATCAGAAGTTTGACTTGTTTGACCTATTTTGATTCAAAGATCATAATCTAGGAACATTCAATTTTGATGGAGGCGAATTCACGTACAGGCTAACCTACCCTGTGAGTTTTGTGCTTTTCGGTACCTTGCTTTTCCATATCTCGGGCGTCAATTGAGCCCTCGCACTCGAGCGAAGGGTATTAGACCAGCCGCCGGACCCGTGCTGATAGTGAACTAATCTGGACATGAATTTACGTTAACGGAAATGTTTTACAATTGAAGATATTAAAGCAAACTTCGGATATGATAAAATAAGCGCACTTACAATTATTGGTATGCTTTTCATTGGAAAAGACTGGTCTTAACAACACAGATTTTCTGTTCAGTAAGCATGCTTCTCAACACATCATTGTTTGAACACGTCATCATGCGTTGCAACACGCTGATTAACAGCCAATTGGTGGCCATTAGATCTGATAGTCGTGCTCACGAAAGCCAGACATGAACGACTCGACGGTTATATTCTTATTGGCCTTGATCGCCGCATGGTTAATGAAATGGTAGTATATTAATGACGTTATAATGACGTTGTGGCCGTCCAGGTGACTTTGAAATAGCCTCCTCGAAAAAGTCTGCATAACTTTGCGGGCGTGTAGCTCCGAGACTAGAAGGTTTGAGGTCTTAAGAAGGACAGGGCTTTGAGCTGCACCAAATGATTCTCAAGGTGGCTTTTTCAGCTCAAAATTACATCCAAATGTGGAACACTTTTTGCAATTTTTGAACGATCATGAATTCACAACAATCAGTTGGATGTTACATTATCGCTAGTCATTGCTGTAACCAGAAATACATTAAGCGTGACAGCCAGCACACAAATACCACTCTCCTACCACGTGTTCGTAGATTAAGTTCTACCATATCGATCTGGCGTTTATTGATCGGAACGACCTATTTACTCTAGTAGCGCTTTCACTCACTGCTGACGGGTTGACAAACAATCCTGGGCCCTGTTCGATCTCTTGTTAGCGAGATCGTCAGTTGTTATGCGTGATGTCACGCGTGCTGGCGGAGCGCTCAATGTGATGACTGACAGCAAACCCGTTAACTGTGCCTTCTTTTTTCATTTGCCATTTACCCTGCTCCAAACCGTACCTTTTGTCCATAAAAAGGCCATAAAATTGAGACACTTGCTTGTTATGAAAATTAACGGCATGTTAGAAGTGTATGGCATTCATAGTGGCATTAAAAGTGCCGCAGTCTGCGGTTAGTTTAAGGTGAAGGTGGAGACCATTCTAAGTTCATTATTCTTTTTTGCTAATTGGTGGCCATGGAGGGGATTTTGCTAGAAGAATTTATCCTCCTTTCTTTCTACCTATCCTTCTTATTTGTCCTAATTCCTGCTTCGCATTTCCCCAAAATTAGAGGTGTATCCCCAGCCAGCGTACTTGCCAAGTTAAGCTCTACCACACCACACCCACGCCTCTCTGTCAGCGTAATTTATTTCATTTGGTGGGCGTTTTTTATCGAGATAGAACAGCAGCATCGCCTGTGCTTGACGCGAGCGCGGCGGTGCCATCCGGGACAGCGGCGGCGCCGCGGCGGTGGTCGTCAGCGGCCTGCCCACGCTCCACAGGTTTTCCGAACGGATGTCGCCCGTACACACTGGATGCGACTGAAGCCGACCTCTGCCAGTTTCTAGAGCGCCAGGTAAACGGGAGAGTAGCGGCCTCCACCATCGCTCGGTTGAGCACGGCGGACCGTCCGCGTAGGAAGCGGTCGTGGAGTCGGTGGCGAAGATTTACCCATGCGGGTAACCCGTTGAACGGTGAAATGCAAGGAACATATGTTATAAGATCATTGGCATCATCTTATCCTCGTGAAGCCCTTAAAATCGGCTCTAGCCTTAATTTTCCTTCCACGGTCATTCACAGAGACCTCGCCCCATGGGTTGCAATGGCTCCGTCCGAGTTAGTTCATGTTTCTTGGGTGCGCCTATCTGATGGCCGGCTTCACGTACTAGCAAGTAGACCAGTCCATCCAGCTGTCCTATATATATATATATATATATATATATATATATATATATATATATTGTAAAGAACGTGAAAACAGTTGGAAATGGCTAAATCCATCTTGCTGGCTCGTGCAAGCGTGGCAAACAGCACGTGCGACATTACAATCCACACAGGATGATTGTCTGTTCGATTCCCTGTCAATGAATGCTACTCCAGAGTAGGTCCGTGCCCTGGGTGCCAATACCAGATGCTTGCCTCAATATCCACAGATATGGAACTTTCCTTCAGGCCGAACTGGAGAATTGGAGCCAATTCGGACAGGCTGCGGGCGACAAGGAATCTTGTTGCAACTATAACGCTTTCTGTATCGATCTGGGGCCAGCTGTCCGGGTCAGAGAGTCTTCCGTGTCAGAGAGCAGGCCGATACGTGATCGCGGCCCCCCAGGATCTCCTGTTCGGCAGGGGCTCCCGTGTCATAAAGACAAAGAGACGTAAATACATCAGAGCAACAAAGAGTCACAAGGGCCCATCGAGGCTGACCTACCCTAGGTTCCGCGGACATGCTCAACATTAATCTCACCGCCTGACCTGCCTGAATTTAGCTTTAAATAAGATCCTCAGACAGACAGAACTTGTCCAAAGATCTTAGAGTGTTGCTTAGAGAGTAACTTCCTGCAGTTCCGTTTGGCAGTTCATTCCAATGATGTACTATTCTTTGACTAATGACATCTGTCTCTTCATAGTTCTACTTCCAGCTTTTGCTACTTGGAAGTAGTTCCCTGTAAGTCACAACCTAATTTACAACGCTTCTTATAGACCTATCTTGTCTATCCCTTCATAATCTGGGATACGCCTTTCAGATCCTCTATAAGTCTACAATACTTAAGTGAATACAAGATCACGGCCTTAGGCCTGTCCCTACATTCGAAGTTACCAATCCCATTTATCATCCTAGTTGCTTCCAGCTTATCTCAACCTCCTGGAAGCATGAGCACCAAGCCCGTACACAATACTCCAGGTGTGGTCTGACATAAGCCAAGTACAACTTTTTGACAACATTGCTTCTCTTGAAATAGACATTCCTGTTCATACGTCCAGCATCCGAAGTGCCTTGTTCTAAGCAGACCCACTTCGCTTTTCAGCATTTAAATCCTTGGAAACTATAACCCTCAAGTCCTTTTCTTCCTCAATCTGGTCCAACTCTCGGTCTTTCCGTTAAAAGCTAATGCCCTCACCCCTACAGCTACCCAAATGCATCACCTTATACTTATCATAATTAAATCACATCTGCCATAGAGAACCCCAGTTCACTAGTTTCTATAAGTCAAATTTCACCTGGTCGGCATTTTTCAACACCCCTACCTATTTAATATCGTCAGCAAATTTGTGCACATCATTTTCTAATCCTATCACAGTACCATTCATAAACATTATAAAAGCAAAAGACCCAACACGAACCGCTGAGGAAACCCACTCTTCACTAAATACCCCTGATATTTAGTACCATAGAACACCGCTCGTTGTTTCCTGTTTTGCAGTCAAACCATTACTCTTGCAATAGTTTTTTCCTCAATGCCATGCAATTTTAATTGGTATAACAGACGCTGGTGTGGCACGTTAACAAACGCCTCGCTAAAATCTAGATGAACAGCATCTAAGCTATTGTCTTTATCTAGCTGACTAGTGATGCATTTTTGGTCATCTTCTTAAACATCGGCACTTAGCATTGCGTCAGAATTCGGATCCTGAGAAACTCACTGATTTTTTAAAATATAAACATAAGAGCATAAGGTAAAGCCCTAGCTCATTGATTCTGTACTTCACCATGTATCTGGTCAGGTTCGGCCACCTTATTAACCCTGATTTTCATCAAGCTATCCCTTGCCATACCCTCGGTCATCACCAAATCTACAAAACCGCCTTCTGTCGGATTTTGTCTATTACCAAGGAGAGCACACACATTCGTCTTCGAAAAAACGAGGAAAACTGTCTACTTAGAGCATCTACAATATCCCGTCATCCACTAACGACTTACCATCTTCCTCAACGGGGCCCACAGAAGATCCCTTAGATTTGAATCTGAAGTATCGAAAACAGTTATTAATATCGCCAGAGCACTTGTATGCTAGCGGTGTTTCGGATTATCTTTCGGCTACCTCGATATCCCTCTTGATTATTTTTAAAATTTTTGTAGCGATCCTATACACTCCCCTGAAGGTTTCTCTGTCCTTCATTTTTTGCCCATCATATGCCGCCTTCTTCACTGCTATCAAGTTACGCGCCTTCTGTGTCAGTTATTGGTGCTTCCTTGAGGTATTTTCTCACGCTTTCCTGAAGAGAATGAATCTTCCCTGACCTTCTTCTAAAATATCGTTGAACACTTTACACATCTGATGGGCAGTATCCCAAGTTTGAATATCTTTCCCCTGCAAGCTAGCAACAAAGGCTTTAAAAAGTTCTTAAGATTCACCCCGAGCAAAATTTGAAATATGAGCATGACAAGCCATACATCAATAACCTAGATGCCATGAAATCGCACAATATTATGTTCACTATTTCCCAGTGTCTCACCTCCTGTCAAAAGCATCCACCAATCTATCATCATCAGCCATGACAAGTCAAGCCTTCATCCCCTTATTGGGGTCGCACACCAGCTGCTGAACACAATGTTCTTAAAAGAAGGAAAAATATGTTGTGACAATTTGATATCTGGCAAAAATCTACGTTCAGCCAGGGAGGTTGACATATCGCTTGCTTTCAGCCAATACATGCTGTCAGTGTCATAGAAGTGTACAGCTCCTGGAGAGTTTCTTTCAGAGGGTCTAGGCACAACGCTCGTTCAAATTTGAAGTATCTTCACTATTGTGGCACCGACACCACACTATCTCCGCCACCGGCTTCCAAATATTTAGGATGAGTTAGAAATATTACCTACATCGCAACCCAGAGTATGTTTAGTTTCACACCGCCGTTTTTATGCTGAACTTCATTATACCCGGTGTCTATTACCTTACATCTGCACCCGTACCCTGCATTACCCTCATCAAGCCTGTCCTGCTTAACCTTGCCTTACCCAGCCCCATGCTCTGGAGCTCCACACAAATGGTTAAAGGAGCATATAAGAGCAACACAGCATAATCATGCTCACTTGAGACCACCTGAACTGAAATACAGAAAGAAGACTATTACACCATGAAAAGGTATCCACATTGGCTGAATACCCTGCCTGCACGTGGTACTGTACTAGAACCTGTAATACTACAGATCATCTGAAGACAGAATGCATCATTTACTGCTGGCTACTAAGCCATACAACTGACAAGAAGATAACTTGACGCCTTTCGTATCAACCAAAAATTGCAGCCACTACCCCCATAACTCAGAATACGCCTACCTATTTCCTAATGTAACCTGTTTTGACCAAATGCAAAGGTGGCGCAGATGTGACGGGGTAAACCCAGAGAATTTGGCTATTTATTAAAAAATAACAATGAAACACCTTAAAAAGTACTAAAAAAAAGATAGCACACCACCCACATCTCCTAAGACACACACCTATACCATAACACTCCCTGAGCTGCACACTACACGAAAGCTCTGCAATGTCCACACACGCTCCCACTCCGTAGCAGCTCTAAGGTCCTGCAGCTCCGAGGTCCTGTGTCGCTCGAATGGCAGCCGATGGGCACTTCGCCCTTGGACGGAATGGCCCTTCTGCCCCTGGCATTTAATGATCATTTGGCCCCTGGTGTGGTACCTACAGAGCCACTTGCCCGGAAAATGTGTTCAATAGAGAGAATCGAATCAGGTCACAGTGAAGAAAAGGGCAACCCATGTGTGCCTGGCAACATCCACTCTCTTGCAGAATCGATGTGTGAAAAATAACTTGAAAAGCTGTGTTCTAGCGTGCTAGCAATGCTAGGGACAGCCGCGACCAGGGTTCCAGTTTCCGTAAAACCAAGCGGCGTCGGCCGCTGCAGATAAGATGGCTGGCGTTTAGTGGGCGGGGACGACTGTCGTGAAATGTGTCGTCAAAAACGACCGTCTCGTCTCCGAAAGTATTTCGAAATCAGCTCATCTCGTTCAAAGATTACGGTGAGGTGTATATCACCTTCATAATTTTGCTATTGAACCCTGACCAGATCACAGCTACAGCAACACGAAAATAGAGATTTTGCCCACACTCCTTCAGTTCCACTACCAGATTCCAGCACCTAGAGCGTACAAAGATACATATTCTAAATACCATGACTTTCATCAGCCACCGGCCACCGGGTGGTGTTGGCCGCAGGGTCGACTCCGCGCGACTTTGGAGACAGCAACACTGGGCGTCGTGTTTTTGCTTTTTAAGGCGTGCGATTACGCATGTTCCAAACTATGCTATGTACTCTATACCGATCGATTCTGAATGAGGGTGGATCAATCCCAGACCAGCATGGGTTAGCCACAGCAGCACTAATTTGTTTTATCTCATTTCCATCTGCAGTCAGCATCCCCGGGTTCCTGAAGATTCCTGTAAAACTATGAACACTCCTGACAGAGCCTCAGAGTTCTGTCGGTTTTCAAAGACTATGTAGCCACCATCGAAAAATCACTTATCCTGGTGATTTATTCCATGCATTTATTGAACACCAGCTTCCGTCCGTTCAATCGCTTAAAAAAAACAGACTGAACTGCATCTTCTTGCATCGCCGGCAGCTTCTTTGACTTATATCCCAGTTAAAAAGAAACCGGAAATGAAATCGAAATGAAAAATCGCACCATCTCAAAATCAAGTGTGCGAAATCGCGTGCCTTTTTCAAGAATGGGGCTTACGACATAAGGGGGCTGCTGTGTCAATCCTGTGTATCCATTCTTCTTACTGAGGCTGTGGTTGCACCCCCGAAGGAGAGACAAAGCTCCCTCTGTCGGTCAGGCTGGAAGAGCACAGAAAGGGAACCATCCAAGGTGAAATTCGGAAATCTGGTGTGACAGAGCATGCATGTGCAGACAGCTATCACCGACCAGCATGGGATAAAGTAACCACCACAGACAGTGAGAGGCCTTGCCGTTGGTTCAGGATGCCATGTGCCATGTGCCAATAAGACCATGTGTCCAGGAAGCAGGACACATGACATTGGTTATCAACCACATCAGTGGGCCACAATTACATATCAGCCCAAAATGGCAGCCGATTTCAGGAAATAAATTAATCCAATTATTTTATAGGGGATTGGCCTTCCCGCTTAGCCAAGCCGGTAGAGCACCAGACTCGCAATCAGAAACAATGGTTCGAATCGCAGAGACTCCCTGGAAGTAACGCGGGTTGGAAGGCGCGCATGGCTGAAAGTCAAACATCGTCCAGCTCTTTTCAGGTTTCCAAAGCTCCTGCTCATGGACAGAGAGTAAACTGAAAACTTTGAATGAAGCACAAAATTTAGTATAAGTACTAAGACACCGCCCGAGGACGATAGTATAAGTACTAAGACACCGCCCGAGGACGATAGTATAAGTACTAAGACACCACCCGAGGACGATAGTATAAGTACTAAGACACCACCCGAGGACGATAGTATAAGTACTAAGACACCGCCCGAGGACGATAGTATAAGTACTAAGACACCGCCCCGAGGAACCGATAGTATAAGTACTAAGACACCGCCCGAGGACGATAGTCAGAATTTTTAATCCGGAATGTTCCAAATTCTATAGACATTGATGCAAGCGTGAGGTGTGGTTAAAAATCAAACCTAAACTATCGGTATGCCTTTGAGTGCGAAAGACTGGTCTGGACAACGTTTTTTGACTATCTAGTATATCTGCTCCTCAAGGCATCATCGTTTGATTACGCCTAGGAACTTTTTTGTCGTACGAGCCGTAAAACCCCGTAAGGGGTTTTAAATTTATGCGTGTGAAAAAATGGCTTATCATGTACGCGTATTTTGCTCCTTTCCCGTAGTACTCTGGTTTATCTTTTAGCGATGGCTTGTTTTGTGTTGCTTTGTTTTGTTTTGTTTTGTTTTGTTTTTGGTTTGAATCCATCCCTGGTTCTTGACCTTGAACACAACGTGACCACTGATGAGGCAAAATTTGTGTGACGTATGCACGGTATCATATACCTCAGGTTGTTTCAAATAAGGCAGCGTAAAAGTCGCACGGATCTGGGTGCACCTTGCTCATAAACGAACAGATCTGAAGTCTTACAGAGGGCATAACTGCGAACCGCAGAGAGTGATCTTTGGAATAGCTTTTGCGGCTGAAAACCACATACAGCTGTGGAGCAGTTTCTGTAATCCAGTCACCTGCTTCATGGGCAGTTGAAAAGCCACCGCCAGTCCAGTTGCGAGCAGCGCCCCTGAGGTTGCCACCACCGCCGGAAACAGCAGGTGTCGATAGTCCATAAGTTGAAACAACTCCAAGTTAAGAAACACCGTCACCTATGGAATGGGAGATCACTGTTAGCGCACAGCAAACAGCATCTGTATTCATGCATGTATGCAGATGTTTCTTGTTACCCTGCGGTCAGTTCAATACAATTTGTTAAATATCTAAAGTACTGATGATGATCATAGCAATGGGGCTAATCCTGACAGCCCATAATCTAGGCGACGGAGACGTCTGGGTATTCAAATTAGCCTGCATGTTCCCTACTTTTAAGATACTGAAATCTTGCGATCAGCTGCCTCTTTGGGTCCAGTGGCTACCTGCATCGCGAACCTGGCGCTATCCCGAAAACCTTAGCGTGCTGCTCCAGATGACACCCATTGTTGCGACCATATTCCTGTTTTGGACATCCCTGGCAGACTCGTATCTGACTGAGTGGAGCTGAGCACTGTCTTTGACCAGTGTATGAGGGAGGACATACGCCATCTCTGTTCATATTGCATTCGGCGTGGAATCTGCCGAATGATCATATTTCGTTGAATGGTTGAATGCACGTTTACTGGGTCTATTGGTTATGCGAACGTAGCCACATAATGAACCTAGTGACGTACTCGCAGGGGAAGGGTTTTCCACTGGAAACGGCGTGTTATCGGCTGGGTTTCTGGGCTTATGCAACTTTCTTCGATGGTATGGCTGCTATGAAAAAATTGTGTGATGCAATCCAATAACTTAGTGTCTGCTATAATATCATGATTTAGTTTTGTTGTTGAAATATGTAACGAAGGTAAACTGGAGCATTTTAGTGAATATTTCTGTAGTATGTTCAACATTACAGTGGCGCTAAATTTGATACCTGAATCCCATGTCATGCAATGCATTTACTACGAATCGCCCCATATGTTCAGCTTAATGTTTGATACGAGTCGATCAGTTACACCTTACACGATAAAAACGAAGTGTTGCGGCGATGATGATGACATCAAGAGCTTAAGAAAGACCTACGAAGTCAAACAAAACCCTTTTCTTCACATTCGTCAAGTTGAGATATGAGCGTAGCACGGCTCCTGGAGGTCATAACGGCCGGCGGCGGGTGATACCAGGACGGGCCGCTTGATATGAAAACACCATTCGCAATATGGACAGCCGGGGAGGGAGGAGTTACAAAACGCCGCCTACCGCCTAGCTCATGATGCGCTCACTCACAGCGGCTCGAGCGGTGAACAGTGACCGGACCGCCACCGTGGCAGGGGATCATTTAAAGCCCTGAGGACGCCAATGTGGTCGTGGCGCGCAACAAGGCCGGTAATTTCGCAGCAGCCCAGTGACCTTGCGACCACTGAAACGACGAGTCAGCAATAACGCTACTACCAGGGACGCCCTCCAAGGCAAATCTTTAGAATAGCCGTGTAATGCCTTAATACGTGCTCGGTGGGGGGGGGGGGGGGTCAACTCGAACCGCCCCCGAAGGTTTTCCAGAATGGTTTCTGAACGGCGCAGTGTAGCCGCGCCAAATTTGGCATAGCTATAGGCAATTGAATAGTGGATCGCTTGGCGTCAAAAATTAAGATTTATCTGGTAAGATCGCTGACCTACAGCAGAGCAAAGTCAGCCCATGGATTCAGCAGTCAGTTTCTGGAGAATCGCTCAATTTGAGCCAATAACAGAGTGTTAAGTAAAGCCATACATCTCTGAGATACTTTCCTAGGCGACACAACAATTAAATCAACGAAATCCAGTGACCTAAGGTCAGGCGTCTAGGTCAGACAAAGGTCAAAACCGTCTTGTTTTTTTACCCAAGCGCTTGATGCATGGGGTAGATTCTGGTGCTCATTTCGAATTTATTGATAACAAGAACCGCATTATACACCTTCCATAGACTTCTTTAAGGTCAAAATAGGTCACTGACCTAGAATGGCCCAGGTCAGGATTTTTTTTAGGGACATACTGCCTAACGTAATATTTGGTGCTTATTCAAAAGTAAAACTCAAAGCGGTTTTGTGTGATTTTGGACACCATGACCTTCATAAAGCCAAACGAGGTCACTCACCTTAGACGAGCACGTGACCTTTTTCTTAGAACAGTTATCTGGATTCAAGGGGCCCTTCGGAGACCAACCCGGAATTTGACCTTGTTTTACCTTATTTGACCAAAAAGGCATGAGTTAAGAATCTAAGACTTTGACCCAAGTGAGTTCACGTACAGCCCAACACACCTTGCCAATTTGGTATCTCCAGCTCTCTTAGTTTGACATCTCTGGCGGGGTCAAATTGACCCCACGCCCGAGCAAAGGGTATCCAACCGGCCACCCGGGCGCGTGTTAAAAAAAAAAAACTGACGAAAAGCTACGTCCTTCTAGCCGAAGAGTTTCTCACGACACGAACACAACCAACGACAGCTACATCTTTGCACTGAACGCCAAATAAAACAGGTCGGCAGAAAAAAAGCGCATTGACGGAAACCAAAGCCGCGTCGTGAGCATTTCAAGCCATTTATCTCAAATGGCACGATCTAAAACGCCGCGTGGTAAACTGATCACGTTTGTCGCAAGGTGCTGAGGCCTGCAACGTTTCCTACGACCAGTCATAAGCCAAGCTATTTGATACTTCATGCTGCTTAATGTGCGATGTGAGTCTTAGCTGACAAGTATGTGAAAAGCACTGATCTGAAGACATTGGAAAACGACTGGGTCACCACAGATCTGTGACTGTTAACACTGATATCGTATAGTGTGTAGTATGCTTCTATCGCTTGCTAAAAGCTATCCGTATTGAAACTGCCATGTTTGGAGACATGTTGTGCCTCAAGTAGCCCATACAGCGACACTTCAATGTTTCGAAATGTTGTGTACACACGTTTTCGCGGTAAGCGTGAAGGAGCACTAGGATTTGAGCGTCGTCTAACTGAGATGATCTGTTAAAATTTGCATCGTTTTTCGCAATTTTATCGCCAAATACCCCGCATGACCCAAATGAAAAACGCAAAGCGGCAACCCTGGACGTAAGACTGCTGCTAGTTGAACCTGCGGACACTGTAATGTGGAGTGGGTGCTAGTCATGGTGAAAAAGCAGCCAATAGAAGCATTACTCATGCAATATATTTGCTTGACTCGCGAGAAAGACTGGCACGAGTAGGTTCTCAACAGTCTATTACGCAAACGTTCAGAAATTCGCTAGGCACAATGAACAGCTCCCTTAGATGATCCTGAGCTTCCAAACCGTGGGGACTCATGAAAAGCGCGCTGATCCCCATAGGGTATGCGTTTTTTTGCGGGGATGCAGCGTTCCTGTGGTGCCTGGGTGCTCCTTACTTACCGATACAATAAAGATCACCGAGCACAGGGTGAGGGGTACCAGGATTACTTCGGAGTGCTTCTTCCAGTGTGGACGAGCCCGTCGGAGAAGTATCCCGGCTGCATATGGAATCACCATTGCCGCGAGAGCACGCAGGAGACCCGAGAACGGAATGCTGATGTCCTCGCTGCCTGCTGAGAGCGTCAGGCCGAGGGTGTACAGCCACAGCGGCATCATGGCTGCCAACAGAGCGAGGCCGGCGTCAGCGGGAGCCGCGGCGAAGCACGAGCAGTACCTGCACACATCTAGGCGTCAGGTGAGTAGTATACACGATGTAGTTCTCACCGTTAGCAGCGACGTTGGAGACGAAAGTCATGGTGCTGCTGAGGTTGTAGTCACCCCGGAACAGAACCGTCCACATGTTACTTCCCGAACCGCCTGGGCAGATGCCTATTACAAACGCCCCCAGTTGGTAGAACGGTTCATGCGGATATCCCAAACGGGCTACGGTGTAGGCAACCTGGTGGACAAATGGTTTGGTTATGTAAAAGAAAGTCGCTTCATTACCCGGAGCAAAGTGACAGCTTGCTTGCTCGCTGACATCTATCTTGAGGCTTGAAGGGCATAGTTGGTAATGGTAACGCCATCTGTCCATGGACTAATGCCACACAGCCGGACTCGGCTAAATGGAACACAACAATGGCAGGTATGTTAGGGCGTGTTGTGAAATAACATGGTTGCTATACATGAATAAGTACCATATATTGTGTACACGAGCACAGTTAGCGCTTAGCCCTGATGGGAGGGCATTCTTCGGACGTCAGTGTGGCGATGCCACTGTCAGTTACGATATCATCCATGCGTATGCGCTTGGATGGGGGTCAATGTGACCTCCCGAAAGCTTTCTCAAAACAGCTTCCGAACAGTCCCGATCAGCCGCGCCAACCTAAGCAGTGCTGTAAACAATTGAATGACCGATCTTTCGGTATATAGCAATTAAACGCATCTTGTATGGCTCTTGACTATGTCATGTTAAAGTCAGGCAATGTACAGATAATTATTCTATATGATGCTGCAACGGGTTATTGGACGAAGTGATACAGCTTTCAGATGTTGTCACGTTGTCTTACCCATCACATCCAGTTATCTCCCAGCAAATAGTGATGTCGGATCCTTTGGATATTTTGCAGCCAGAAAATGTTTACCTATGGATACCATGGGGCTAATGTCAGATTTTAAAGATGGGGCGTTTTCAGGCTTTATGTGCGTGCATGCAATGCTTACCCATGCTTTCATCAAATGACCTCTGCTAGATTTCTTGACACCCCCTTTCCTTTCGTTGGCACGGTAATGCCTTCAAGCCTACACGAGTAAAAATATAAGCTGCATGATGAAAAAAAAAACAGTGGGCTGGTCTTAACTAGATCTCGTGACTGTAAGAAGTTTGATGATGCTAGACAAAAAAATATGCAGAGTCAAATTTTCCTGAAAATCAAACATTCTCAGTTTCCATGCTTCTATGTAAGATACCATGCTCCGTAGTGACACAGAATCTTAACAGGCGTGTTCGTCGTTAGTTTTGCATGCAATGGTGTGTAGGTTTATGTGTTTTGAGCATAGTTTATCATGTAAGGCTCCCGTCGATGGGCCATCGTCGTCCACCGCCCGCACCTTCCCTTGGTCATCGAGCGGTGTTCCTAAAAAACATCGCCTCTCAAAAACAGGAATGTTGCGGAAAATTAGCTTGTGCCAAAGTACGCACTATAAATGCCTCAGAGGCTGCTGAAAAACTTGGGCGCAATTGCACAATAAACCGGAGAGGCATCCACAGAAAACTTTAGGAAAGGTGGGGGGAATCCCCCCCACCAGAGTGAAGGTTAAGCTGATTATTTTTGTGGTGATAGCGGCTCCATTCAATCGAATGCCACATGATTATTAAATTCTCAGTAACCTTCATGGATGTGATCCTGTGCTAAATTGATTCCATGATAACACTGTGATTGAATGACACGTTTATCGGGGTCCGGGAGCAGCTGCTTGAAAGAGCTTTCGGTTGGTACTAGGGCTTTACCCATTTTACTCCTCGTAGTCAGTACAAGTGGTTGTGACTCAAGTGTAAGTTTCTGAAGCATTTAATCAGCCTGTGTTAGAAGATAAGCTGGCTTTATGTCCAGGCGAACGATTAAAGTCTATGGGTCCATATATTTAAACTCCATCAATCCACTGCTGAGAGACAGCGATGAGCGTTAGTGGGTCGGACTTTCATCGGGCGTGGTATGTATCTGCGGGTTGCCGAGCTCTGGAGGGAGCCAGATCAACAGAGTTGCACTTGAAGCCACCCACGGCCTGGTTGGGTCGTCGGCATTGGTGGCTTGGTCCAAAGCTGCTGGCCCGACAGTCAGCAGGTGCGCCTCATGATTGAAACTGGTGTCACTCAGTCCTCAGCGCCGAGTCAGATTGTGAATTGGGCACATAATGCCTTCACCAGCCTCTGTATTTTAGCGGAATGGATAAAGATCTAGCTGGAATTTGCGTCTGCGGTAGCTGCTGGACTGATTTTCGGTCCGCGATGAGGTGGGTTTCGTGGATACGCTTGGGGTTCGAGGCCGGTAGGCTGTGCACAACACCCAGCGCTTCGAAATAACGATTCGCTTGTGACGAGATCTTCCTAAGGCTTTTTAAGGATACCTCTCGTACGAAGATGAGTGAGAGAGGATGAGGATGGAGAGAGAGAGAAGAGAGAAGAGAAGAGAGAGAGAGAGAGAGAGAGAGAAGAAGAGAGAGAGACAGAGAGAGAGAGTAGAGAGAGAGAGAGAGAAGAAAGACAAAGAAGAAGAAAGAAGAAAAAAGAGAGAGAGAGAGAGAGATAAGAGAAGAGCGAGAGAGAGAGAGAGAAGCAGTCTAGCAAAGCTGAGGAGAGACTCGAGAGAGTAGCGAGATAGAGCGAGACGAGAGAGGCGAGTAGAAGAGAGAGCCAGCGAGTCGCGATGGAGAGAAAGAGAGAGAGAGAGAGAGGGAGAGGGATAGAGGGAAAGAGAGCTGTACAGACAAGATTACGAAGATTGTACATGCGGTGTACTCAAACCCTCCCTTATCTGAAATTGAGGCGCGTGATGTTGATGATAATGTGATAACTGTTCTCAGTACATATAACACAGATACTTTAGACGCATCCTCCTTAGTTACATTCAAAATTACCTCCCGTAATAAAATGGTCATGTAGATTAAAAAAACACGAGCTACTCACCAGGGGCATGCAGATGAATTGTCCCAAAAATCCCACCGTCGGCCCAACGGGCTTCTGCAGCTCCTTCTTGATCAGCTCTACATCAAGTTGCATGCCAAAAATGCCGCTCCCGAATACCAAAATCACTACAAATATGACAAAAAATATCGTGCCGAGAGACTGTTCAGTGCGAACGAAGCTGACGTGGTACGTGAAGCTGTTGGGGGTCATTTCGAGCGAAGCCGGTAAGGCGAGCTCTTCAGCCTCGTTCACTACGTCCAGGACAACCACGACGTGGTCGCGACCCAGGTACTGTCCGGTGACACGGACTGTCCTGTTGCCTCCCTGGGCTAGCTCGGCCTGGCTCAGAGTCCAGGCGGCCGGCTCGAGTCGGGTGCGCCACGCCGTGCCGGGCGTCAGCGTCACCCGGACTGCGTGGCCGGGTGGCAGCGGCGCGGCCGAGGCCGATGTGGTGCCGCCCTCCCAGTAGACGGTGAACGTCACCTCGCTGGTGGTCAGCCGCGGCACGCGAACCAGACGTGACGGCGTCGCCTCCAGCACGAACGAGCCGAACACGCCGGCCCAGCCAGCCACAGCTGCACGGCAACAGCCACCAACGGTAGCATCGTCGCGCTGACGCCACCGAAGTAGGTGTGAGGTCTGCTAGGGTCCGCTGGTCCGTGCTGCGCACCAGCCGTCGGCTCGGAGACCGTCAGCCCCGACCGGACCGAGTCAGCCGGCGGGCGATGGGGTTCTCCCCTCTATTCACGTCTTACTTGCAGGCGAATCGCCGGTATGAGCTTCGCGCAGGGCAGCACTGCAATGTGTTGTGGTCAATTAGTGGACTTAACATGCACCACGCTGATTCAAGGCTACCATTACAATTGCTTTCGCACGACTGCACATTTCGACTGCTCGCAGCAGAGATGTTCAATACGATAACGGGTAAAAACACACATTATGACATGAATGAAGGAAACACGATGAATGAAGACACAACGAATGAAAACACGTGCTGGCCTTGCGTAGCGCATGGCCAATGCCGTTAGCTGGAGTAGACATATGTACGGCGGTAGCTTGAGGCCTGTACTTAAATGTGCTGTGCTGAACTGTCCTTGAGTTTTCGGCGCAAAATCCCGAGCATCGCTGGTATATGTCTCCCACACTGCCCGTTGCATCTCAGACTGAGCATACTGATCGATGAGCAGGCGTGAGATAAAACGCGTTTGTTATCATCATGTTGCACATAAGCCTAAATGAAGGTGCTGGAGGTGTTAAAAAATGTCGCTGGCATCTGCTGATACAAAATTTCATGGGCTCTGCACTTAATAATCGGGATCATGTTAGAAAGTGAGTTCTGCACCGGCAATGATTATGCGAAGATAGCGGATGTCGCCAACATTTTCAGCTGATTGTACATTGACGTCCCAAGGCCGAAAGTGATATTGTTTTCAGGTGTTCGTAGGGTCATGTTATCAGTAAATACAGGGCCACAGGAACGCAGTTCTGCTCTTTCAAACAGTTGTTCCCAAGGGCGTTCAAACAGCTGGGGTGAGGGAGGGGGGGGGGAGGGGAGGGGAAGAAGGAACAAATGTCTGGGTCTGCCTCCGAAATTAACTTAAAACAATTTGTCTCCTCAGATAAGACACACTTTCTTTTCAGCAGGGGTGTGGGGGTGTAAACTGAGAGCCGAGGTGTGGTTCCTCAAAGTTTGTTTTGGAGGGCTGAACACTAAAAATTTCGATTAAAATGAAAATAATGCAAAACAAAATGATAAATAAAAATCTTAAACTACATCCCTGGTTAGGAGACACAATCCCTCCCCCCCCCCCAAATGAAAAGGAAATAATGCACGTCCAGGTTGGTTATGTTAAGTATGCTTTTATTTGATAATTTGATTGGTTTAATCTCAACCATCATGTTTCATGGTTATGGCGCACTACATTTTGTCTGTTTATGTGGTGTATCGCATTTATAATTATTCTTTAAGGGTTTTTGACAGATTTAGCTCCAGGGGACCCCTAAACGACTCTTAATTTGATCGGTGACAGAAAAGGCACTCTTTCATCTCTGTGGGGTCGCGGCGAACTTTGCATTACCGCATGCACCGATTCAGTTCCTGTATTTAACGCAAATTTATTCGTTATTCTGTGGTATGTCCGGTTCAGACATAAACGTTTCTACCAAAAGGGGTTTAACTTTATTTTTGTGCGACATTGAAATCAAAGTTACAGGGCAATAATGCAGAACGCCCTGGTCTCCCGTTTCCGCAAATGTGGAGTTTATGGCTTTGAGAGCAGCCGCGAATTCGGATATCACGGTCGTGGTTTATTTCTCAGAGTAAGTCATGCCGTCACAGAATTAATCCCGGTTGCCATGGCAATAAGCCCCAGATTCTGCGCTGCTGTAGTGTGCTCAGCGTTGGTTCTGGTCCGTGTAGCGCCGTATTCTAGGATCCCGAGGTGGCAAACGGATAATCGTAAACGTGTATACACCAACAACCTGAAATGCTTTATCGGCAAACACGTTTTACGCGTCAGCGATGCTGTTCAGGACGGATGCTCTTCATGTAACGGGTGCATTAGTTTTTCCGGCCAATCCGACGTGGCAAGATAAATCACCGCGATGTCATCAGTATCTGCATATGTTACAAGGAGCATGGCGTGAAAAGTAACCAGTAAAGGGGAATAATGACATGAGCAGGAAAATGAAGCAATTGCTATGCTTCCAACAACGGTCAACCTGTGCTGATACATTTCGCAGCGAAATGCTGAGGCGAATTAAAATTATGAGTCGCAATATCGACCCCAAGTGCATGGGTCCAGTATGACATCTATTAAGTTAACTACGCATTCGTATTCAAATTTAGCGGTGACCACCGATGCCGCTTCAAATGAACGTTAGATTCGAACACAACCCGCTGATGACAACACTCACGTCCATTTTCCTCTACCTCAACCAGATTGACATCCAGATATCGATTAACTAAGTAAGCACGCCGTACCGCCGCTGTATGACATTCATGCCTTTAAAAACGATCTGATCTGAAAGTCAGTCAGCAGTTCCAGCCTGTGCTATAAAAAATGTCAAACTTCAAAGTCCACCGTAGTGAATAAAGGTCCAAAGACAGATTTTCGAGATTGACGGGTGGGGTAGCGCTGCATTGCCGCTGTGTGGGATGGATTTGTAAAAAATAATGCGTCATTTGAAATCCTGTTGTGGATTCCAGCCTGGGTTCCCCGAAACACCAGCGTCCAAGCTAAAACCCAGAGTCAAAATCAAGGCCAAAGGACGGAGAAGCGCTGCACTGCCGCTGTATGAGATGGAGCTGTGTAAATAAGGCATTATTAGAAAGCCCGTGGTCCATCCTAACCTTGGATATCAAAGTGTCAGACTTTTAAGTCCGCTGTAGTGCGAAAAGCTCCAAAAACAAATAATCAAGGTCAAAGGCCGGTGCAGCGTTCCACTGCCACTATAGTGGACGGAATTCTACAGATAAGACATCATTAGAAAGCCCGTTGTCGATTCCAGCTTGAGCTTCCAAAGCGTCAAACATCAAAGCCCAATTAAGTAGTAAAAAGCTCAAAAAGCAAATTTAAGAGGTCAAAGGACGGAGTAGCGTCGTATTGCTGCTGCATGGCACAGATTTGTACAAATAAGGCGTCATGAAAAAGCCTGTCGCTTACTTCAGACTGGGTTTTAAAAAAACTGCCCTTCCCCGCCACGTCCTTTGACCTTGAACATGACAGTGATTTTTGGCTTGGGCTCTGGTGTTTTTCACAGCCAAGGCTGGAAATAACAACGGGCGTTCTAATGACACACTAGTTGCACAGGTCTGTCCCATACAGCGGCAATGAGGCGTTAGGTTTTCAGGCTTTTATTTTCGCAATTTTGTCACCAATTGGCTGGTAAAAGTTTTGGCTTTTGTTTCCGATCATGGCTGGTTTATAAGACGCTTTTTCACCCCTAGCCAGGCAGTCTCTTTAGGTGTGCTGGGTGTACGAAATTCCTCTTTATCACAACCCTTTCTTATTTTGTAGATGGCGCTGGGGTTGCGGAGTTTCAGTTCAGAGAGATGTAGGGAGAACAAGGCGGACACTCGTCAAATATTGTCCTTTTGGACGAAACATCAATAGATGTTGTCATGGTTTGTAATCATTCATGATCATACAACAGCGCTCATGCAAAATCATTCCTGTCACGTCAGATCCAATAGTTCGTGTTGTTTCTCTAATCACCTGCTGGCATAACTTATGACTTTTCACTCGCTGTGATCTGAGCAATGCTTCGCACTTAGTATTATCGCACACATTGTCAATAATCTCTACCCGTTTGTTCCATGTGCTGGGGGCCAAGCGCTGCCGACTCACCGTATGCTCGGCTCAAACACTTACGACTCACCGCATGCGCTGGACGCATGCGTGCGTGACACACGGTCCGATCCCCAGGCCTGCCCGGGCACATCTGACGGCACCAACCACTCCCGCCTTCGCATGTGGGCTTGAACACGTTGCTGGGCCGCCGCTAAAACAAACAAAAACACGAGCATACTTAAACTTAGCCAACGCTTCCTCACTTGGCACAACATGGCGGCTCGATTCGAGCATCACCGGCCCATTTCTTTCCTAACCGTCATGGCAGCCCTTTGTGAGCGAGTTGTGTGCACCTAGCTTCTGACCCGTTGACCTCGAACGATGAACTCTGCTTTCAATGGTATGGATTTTGTCAGGCCTCTCCATGCAGGCGGTGCTGCTCGCAGCTGTCACCTTGACGACTCGGACGGAGGCATGGTGACGTCATTAGTTACCGTTTACACCTCTAAGGCGTTCGACAGCGTTCAACATTGTCTCTGAGGCCCTCTGGTTCAATAAAAGATATAAGAATTCTTAAGCTATCATGACTGCTAAAGTTAAATTGGCTAAATTTGTTTTTATTTTTAAGTTTAATGGTTACACAGTCATCATAATTGTAAATAACTACAGGCAGCTGATGTTGAGATGATCCAATGCGCTCTCAAATTATCTTTATATCTTTGTCTTCTTACATTTAAAGACGTGACCTGTTCGCCTAAATGAGGAACTTTTCTAACCGCTTGTAAGGTACAATGAGTTTTTCGAAACGCGGAAAACTACAGTCACCCCTTTTCTACCCAAAGCAAGCCTTAACTTGCGCTCAGGTGGCCGGTTACGCGCTCGGGTGTCCGTTGAATACCATTTGCTCCAGTGTGCAGTCCCTATTTTCTCATCAAGGAATTTGAACTGAGCACCAGAGACTACCTCATACAGTAAGCTCGTCGGTAAAAAGCAGGTTGGTTTTGACCTCGGTCTTGCCAGTTGTTTTACTGCCTAAATAACTACCTCAGGTATGTATGGTTTTGTCTAACACATTCCGTTGCGGAATCAGATTGGACAATGCCCTATGAATTGCCTTAGCTGACAGCTACAGCCTGATTTTGACCTACCATAGGTCAGCGACCTCGCAAGTAACGTCTAACTCTTTACATGAAAATCTTATTAATTAAATTATCAACAGCTGTGCAAAGTTT